TTGCGAGGACCGCCATCTGGCGGATCCTGAACGCGGCGCCCGGAGGAAAGCCGGGGGAGGGAGGGGGGAGGCGACGGAAGGAAGGGAGGCAGATGCCGAGGAATGACAGGAGGGGAGAGGTGGGGCAGAAGCTCCAAGGGCGCGTTAAGCCGCTTTCCTGGCCCGTTGGGGCTTTTTGAAAATCATCTTCCCCGCTGCACCACTTTGGGACTTCTTCCTCTCTCCCCCCCGCCCCCCCCCTTTAAGGGGTTTTCCTTAGGGTTTGGTGTTTGTTTCCTAAGTCTGTTGGCAGCACAAACGCTCGAGGAGAGCCGCTCTTTTACACGGAAAACCGATTCCAGACCTGTAAGCATGTCAGGATTCTCCTGTTTTTCCAAGAGTTTAAGGAATGACCCATTCTGGTTCTCTCTCCCCTTCTTTCTTGTGGTGCCTTGGAGTCAGTTTTTCACTCCTGGCAACTGCCTGGGGAAGCCCCTGCAGTTTTCTTGGCGAGGTGTTTCGGAAGTGGCTTGCCCTTGCCTCCTTCCTAGGGCTGAAAGAAAGCGACTGGCCCAAAGTCACCCAGCGGGCTTTGTGCCTAAGGTGGGACTAGAACTCACCGTCTCCGGCTTCTAGCCTGGTGCCTTAACCACTACCCCAAACTGGCTCCCAATCCCATCCCATCCCATCTGCCTAAGCAACTGTTCACTGTTGTGGCTGTCACTGGAATGGATGAAAGAGCTCATTAGAGCTTGGAGGATTTTAATTCTTTTCTGTGTTGGGTAGAGTGCTATCATTTTAATATTTAATAATATGTAGCAATTTAATATTTAATAATATATTGCTTTGGGCTTGGGAGCTTGAAATTTCCTTCTGGTGTCCTGTCCAAGGCAACTAGCCCTGCCTTGGCTTCAGACTCAAGTTCACAAGGCAGATGGCTACTTCCAGACATGCTAGCTGGCCTTGACTACCCATGGTTTGAACAGGAGACCACCAGAAAATCCCATGGACATAGGCTAGAGAGGAAAGTAGGAAAAAACATCCCAGAATCAGTAATGGCAAAGCACCTCTGCATTCTTTCAAGGAAACAGCAGAGATGAGCTTCACTGTGATCTTATATACATCTTCGCATCACACATCCCACCATAGAGATCAAGAAGCCTCAATGTTTCACAAAACTTACCAGCACTCCATTTTCTGAATTTTTATTGAATTCCCTGCTTCTGCAAAACATGGGGAACAAGAGATAGGAAACTGCAACAAGACTGCTTTATACTGGAGGATTGAGTGATGGCTTAAACTTTATCTGCTTTGGACTGGATTATTAAACTGGTTATGATGCCTGACTTCACTCTCTAGAACCCATAGACTGGACTCAACCAGGGCTCCCAGTTTCCTTGTAGCTGGCACCCCTGTCCCTGCCACATCCCCAACCCCAACCCCAGCACCCCATGGCCTCTTCTTTCCTTTTCTCGGGTACAATGGGAGCCCTTCTATCCCCATTGCCAAATGCCAGCTGCTCAATAAAGTCACCAGCCTCAGATTTTGCCAAGGCACCTTTTTCAACATGGAGGATTCACCTTAAATTGGGAAGCTCCTGCTCAAATCAGGATGCGTGGCATGCCTGGGAGTCCCTCCCTCAAATACAGCATATTTAAGGACTGTGTCAAACATTATGCCCTGATAATGCTGACAGTGAATTTGGAGAAGTCTGGGTTAAAGGCCATTGCATTTTTTCTTATTGGCTCCTAAGAAGTTGATAAAGTCTCTTGATCCATTGTAATTTTAATATTTACTCCAAAGAAAAAGCAACCATTAATTTAAGAAGATGTCACCAAAAAAAGGAATGAGTAGAGAGGCAGAAAAAATAAATGATTAACACAGACAAAAATCCCGTGTAATACCCAGATTGCTCACAAGGTCCACCTTGAGATACCAATTCCAGGTGAAACAAATCTTGAAAATTCAGTTCCTCCCAATAAAAATGTGTATGCAACCCACATGCGTGAGTGCACAAATATGTATATTTGTACATATATATGCCTGTCAGAAACCACGTTCCACCAGGACAAAATAGTAAATGTACATGAATGAAAAGCAGGTAAAAACAAATTGTCAGTAAAATAGAGCGCCAAACTGATTCCTCTCTGCATATATCAACCATTCTCTCACATGTAGGAGGAGTCTGGTGGCACAAATTATGCATTTCAATGAAATGTATTAGTGAGAAAAGGTGTCACCAGACTCCTCCTGATTTTTGGCTACCATAGACTAACAGTTCTCCTACAATCTACGTACATGTACAAGAGCAGGGAGACAGTAGGCAAGCAGAGGAGCAGCCATTTGCATCTCTGGCCCAATTGTTATTCTACAACAGGGACTTTAGGCAATACTAACCCAATACAGTATATAGGACATTATTTTTTATAAGAAAGCCTTCACTTTCCCACTAGGTAACTAAGGTATATGATTTTAAAAGTTGGTGTCCCTGATGCATCCCACTGCAATATGCATTTGATATGTAGTTAGGTATCATCGGGTCAGATTGAACTCAGATGTTCAATACCTTGACCTATGTCTAGTCTTAAGTTGTAGCTCCACCAAGGACTTTCCTATATTCTCCTCTGCCCTGTCTTCCACCTTATCGCTTGTCTTCCCCTTCCTTCAACTGGCAACATATAGTATAATCATTTTTTTCTAGTCCACTACCAACTGATATCACATTTCTGCATCATGATCAGATGATCCTTGGCACGGGGATTCCTGAAATTCTTTCCACACTTTATGAATTTAGAGGTTTCTCCCCTGTGTGGACTGTTTTATGATAAGTAAGTTGACTGTTGCGAGTAAAGCTCCTCCCACATTCCATGCATTTGTATGGCTTTTCCCCTGTGTGGATCCTCTTATGGATAGTAAGATGATCACTCTTGCGGAAGTCTTTCCCACACTCCGTGCATTTATATGGTTTCTCTCCAGAATGGATCCTTTTATGGGAAGTAAATGAACTCAAGCCCCTGAAGCTCTTCCCACACTCGAGGCATGTATATGGCTTCTCCCCAGAGTGGATCCTTTTATGGGAAGTAAATGAACTCAACCCACTGAAGTTTTTTCCACACTCCAGGCATTTATATGGCTTCTCCCCTGTGTGTATCCTTTTGTGGGATATAAGGGAACTGCTCATACTGAAGCTCTTTCCACACACTGTACAATTAAATGGTTTCTCCCCTGTGTGTATCCTTTTATGGGTAGTAAGGGAACTTGAATGGTTGAAGTTTTTTCCACATTCCATGCATTTATATTGTTTCTTTCCTGAGGATATGTTTTGATATAAATTAAAAGAGAAGCTCTGATTGTAATTTTTTCTATGTTCTGTTTCATACGGTTTCTCTTTTGTCTGGGTTCTGCAATGTTTACTTAAATCAGATTTATCTTTGAATGTTTTCCCATGCGCTAGACCCTTTTCTGTTTTACTTCCTTTTTGATGTTCAACTGGATAGTCATGAATTTCTGCACTTTGAGAAGTAGCTGATTTTTCTCCACTGTCACTTGATTGGTTTTCTTCAGGCCTTTTTGGTCCCCACTGATTTTGAAACATCTCTTCCTGTAGTTCATGCTTGATTGTTTGCAAATGCAACATAGTTGATTTCTCATTATTCTTATTCTCCTGCCCATCATCTGCTTCAGGAAACAATGAACAAAAATACTATTAGAGTAAGGCAAAAACTTACAAAGTTATCATGGATCAAACCCACCTCTTCTTTCTTTTACAAACTTTCTGTCCTCTTTGTATAATTTGAGACAAAGATCACTGGACCATGTTTGATATTTCACAATGTACCAATATGAAACATTTATTCCCTACAATATGAGTGTTGTTTAAATTTCCATCATGTTAGATAAACAGATTTAAAGGAAGTCTAGGCAAAGAAAATAAAAATCAAATTATAGGAAGTTTTCTGTACATTTATTGTAGAAGATGGAATTTTAGGTAGGCTTTATAGCTTGTAGAGTTGCATAGGCATAAATGTGACTTATGCAAAGTACAGTTCTACCTTCTACTTTTTTTTTTTTGTAAATTTACAAACCAAATAACCTGGTCCAGCATTGTAATCAGATGCATTCAGGAAGCTCACAAACACAGATCAGAGAGTAATAGCTCTCTTCTTCTGTTCCTCCCTACCAGGTGATATTCAAGATATGTACCCAGAGGCAGTAATCAGCCATTATTACTCATACCCATTAATAGATTCTCCATGAATTCTTCAATCTCCTTGTAGAACATCTAATGGCAGCAAATTTCAGTTTATTTTTACAGTGAGTAAAGAGTAAAATCTGTGGCCTAGAGTATAGGATACTAAGTTGCAGATCAGCGTATTTATCAACATCTGATGCTCATCTGTCAATTTGTTTTTGATGAGATTAAATATAAAATGCAAAATTCACTTAAAATTCACTCACAAATCCTAGATGAGAATTGGCTACATCATACATCTAAGCAGGTCCCTGTCAATCTCTTCTTCTGCTGAGGTCCTGTAGAGGAGCAAGGAGAAGATCCTGGAGAAGATCTATGGCAACCATTAGTAAAACATGAGCATAGACTGGGAAAATGCTGTTGGGAAACTCTGGTAGGCTTTCAAGATTCTGCTATTATAACCTATAATAATAAAATAGAGTTCTAGTATTTCTTGTGGTGTCCATTTCCCAACCTCAAAGGGCTGACACCAATTTTGAAAGCCTGACAGTGTTTCCCCCTCCTTCCCTCTTATACCAAAGAAAGTCAAAGAGGACCAATCTTAAGTTTCTTTCTCATGCTTTGTTTTCCTGGGCTAAAGTTTTACTAATAGTTGCTGCAGACCTTCTTCAAGGTCATCTCCTTACTCCTGTATAGGTCTTCAGTTCAACGAGTCTTCTCCAACTTCTACCAGCTCTAGTTTAGCATATCTTGAAATACAGAACCAGTGTAATCGATTCTAATTTTAAAAAACATTTATCTATTTCTGGCAGAATACCTCTCTATTTCTCTTTATTTCCTTACCCAGAGAAGCCACATTCCTTGAATTCCCCAGCATGATTTCCCCGTGCAGGCCTCTTTGTTCAGGATCCAGTGGATCCCAATCCCCTTCACCAGAAAACAGAGCCAGCTCCTTGAAGCATATAGGACAGGAAAAAGAAATATCTATAAACATACAGGCACAGGAAGGCTCTTCCCTCTCATAACTCGCAAATCCCCAGTTAGATTGTTGCTACTTCTGTTGAACCCTCAATACTACTCAGCGAGAGCAACTACTGATGGGATGAACCTTGGAGGCACCATTTAGCAACACCTCTGATTCTTCCTGGCAAGCATTTCTAGAAAAATCCTGTTTTGCATCCTCTACACTCTTCAGCACCTATATGAAAATGCTAGGAGATTTTTATGAGAAACTATTAACATGCAGATGAAGTGCAGCCTTGGGTATCCTTCCAGGGAAGCTGCTGCTGCTGTTCTGAACCAGTGGATGAATGTGAGCTAATAAAATAAACTTATGGAGGAAATTATATTGACTGTGAAACTGAATTCCAGAGATTTGAGATTAACTTGGAAACCCCAAGAACCCTGATTATCAGCATTCTGAGATGCAACACTACTTAGACCAGTGTTCCTTCAACTTTTTTTCCTCTCAGGACCCCTTCCCACTTTTAAAAATTATGGAGGATTTAAAAATGACGAAGGACCCCAAAAGAGCTTTTGTTTGCATGGGTTATATTTATCGATATTGCCACATTAAAAATCAAAATTGATGCATACACTGCCACTACTACTTCTCATGATTTTTTGATGGGATTTTAATATTGTATTATTTTTCAATACAGGCTGGTAAATAATTGTGATTTCATGGATACCTGAGAAAGTCTTGGGCAACCCCCGGGGTCCTTGGCCACACTCTGAGAAACCCTGACTTAGACACAAGGTTTACATTTTTTTTTTAATCTGTTCAATTGTGTCAGATTCTCAGACACTGCCTGGACAAGTCCCTGCAGTTTTCTTGGCAAGGTTTTTCGGAAGTGGTTTGCCATTG